TATGTTTATAATATAGAAATTCCCTAATATAATAAGGCAATATTATATCTACTTCATTGCAGACACTTATATTTATATTGAAATAATGATTATAAAAACTGTAGAGACACTTCACAAAAAAGGATGAATTACTAATGTAGATATTTTACCTCTAATGAATATAAATAATATTAGTTATAGAGTAAATTCCTATGTATCTGTAATTTAAAAGATTTGATTTGTAAGAATTATTTGAAATTCTTTAATTTCCATTAATTTAAATGTATATTCTATGTTTTTTAACGAAATTAAAAAATTAAATATAACTATTTATTTAATTATGAAAATATTAAATGTTTTGAAAATGATCTTTGAAAGAACATAAAAAATAATTTTATTTAATGTAGAAATGTAATATCTTTAATAAAAATAATACTCTATAATATATTCGTTCTTCTATGTAACTTGACTTAACGCATAACTTTATCTTAGGTAACTAGTAAATATATGAAATTATTGATTTTTTTAAATATCTAGAGAAAAATATAAAAAAGAGATAAAAATTAGTTATGAACACAAGTTATTCAAGAAAACATCACGACAAAATAGTTAAAAAGGTTTTCTTTAATATTTATATTGTTAATAAAAAGTATTATTAATCTTTTTAGAATAGAAAGTAATAGTTGTATGGAATACATATAGTTAGTCATGCATGCTCTATATAAAAAAAAAAAAAAAAAATTAGCTGCTAATATTTTTTGCTTTTCTTTTTCTGTAAATTTTAAAGTGATATAAAAAAAATATATTTATTTTTTTGGGAAGAATTTAATAGTAGAAAATTAAGAAAAAGATTTATTAACTAAAAAGTTTCTTTAAGTATATTTTTGTTTAAATTTTTGTAAGAAAATTTTACATTAATTATAATAAAATTTTCGTGTTTCTTATTATTTATACGATTTATTTTTGATTTTTTTAATTTGTATGTTTGTTAATTTGAGAGCAATGAATTTTATTTACAAGACATTACTCATAAGATTGTGAGTAAAATTTATATAATTAAAATCAATAATTAATGAAGATTTAAATTTTAAATAAAAATATAGGATTTTTATTAAAGTAAATAGATATCTCTTGAAAATAGAAAGTGATCAATAAAATATATTGTATAAATACAGTTTACCTATTTATAAAATTAAAACTAAATTTAAATTCATTAAATTAGTAGAGACAACTTCACATTCTTTTTATTATTCTGTTTGTTTAAAACTCTAGCAAAATTATTGAATAGGTAATTCATAAATCAGCATACTCAAAAAAATATATATATTTTTTTTAAAATACATTTTCCTTTTTTATATTATATATATATTTTTAATTATTTTTTTTTATTATTCTTGATAAATTTTTTAATAACGATAAATGGTAAAGATTTTTTTTAATCATTAGATTATTATTATATGATAAATTGAAATTTTATTAATTATGTAAATTAATATATTATGAAATATTTATATACATATACAATTTAATTAAAATAAATTAGGTTTTTATTAATATTATTATATATCATGTTAATTATTGTGTTGGTTTATTAATTGGTCATTTGTTAATAGAAGGAATTATCACCCTTTTTCAGAATAAAAAATTAATAGCTGTATGCAAAATATATAGTTAACCATGTGATTTATTAACTGGGTGTTCGGTGACTTTACTGGAGTACTGAACAAACCAATTAATAAAGAGCATGTAGAGGTGTCTCTATGATTTTGTTGTATTTATATGTATCTTTAATATGCTTTGAATGAGTAACTCTTAACTATGTGCTCTACTTCGTTCAGCATTCTTTACTTTCAATAGGCATTTATTTACTTTAATAAAAATACTTATTTTTATTAAAAATTTAAATCCTTATTGAATATTGACTAATAATTAAATGTAACATAATTATCTCTTTGTTGTAAGTTATATTCAGCAATTTACATATATTGCTGTTGAATTAGCCAACATAAACAATTATTAAAAATACAAATAAATTATGTGAATATTAATTACGTGAAAATTTTATCTTCATATGCATAAAATTTTCTCTCATAAATTCAAAATATAAATATTGTGCAAATTAAACCCTTTACAAAAACATTATTATTTTTTTGTAAAAAAAAATCTCTCTCCTTTCCTTTTAAATCTCTCTCTCCAAAAAAAAAAAATTAAATCTTTTTATTTTTTTTTTATTTTTATCTTTATCTTTTTCAAAAGAAACATTTCTCATAAAAAAATTCCAACAATTTTTTTTTTTTTTTTAGTTAGCACAACTAACTATGTATTCTCCACATAGCTAGTCCTTTTATAGCCAAAAAGGTTAATGAAGCCTTTTATTAACCACCATGCGAGCGCTAGATAAATAAAAAAAAAAAGAAATTGTTAATTTTTTTTGTTCCTTTATATAAGTTAATTACATAAAAAATACATTTATTTTTTTAAAAAAAATTTAATGTTTGGAAAAGTAAAAAAATAAATTATTAATTAATAAAAAGATTATAGTGAATTTTTACTTTGAATTTTAAAGAAAAATTTAATATTAACAATAATAAAATTTTGGTGTTAAAAATATTTGTATAATTAAATTCGTATTCTGTTAATTACTTATGTTTGTTAATTTAAAAATAGTAAACTTCAGTTTATAAATGTTGTCCATAATATTACAAGTAAAAAAGCATTTACTTGAAAATCAATAATTAATGAGGATTCAACTTTTAAATAAAAATAAGGAATATCAACTGAAGCAATAAAATGCCTCTTTGAAACAATAAATGCTCCATGAAATAGACTAGAAAACACAGTTTACCAATTTGTTGAATTAAAATCATATATAAATTATTTTAAAATATAAAGGAAACTATACATTACCTTTATTAATTTGTTTTTTCAGTACTATAGCAAAAGCTCTGAATGGGTGATTTATTAACTGGGTATTCGGGGACTTTACTATAGTACTGAACAAACCAATTAATAATGAGCATGTGGAGTTACCTCTACGATTTTGATTTATTTATATATATTTTTATATGCTTTGAACGATTAATCCTTAGTTATGTAATCCACTTCATTCCACATTCTTTTATTTAAATAGGCAATTATTTACTTTAATAGAAATCCTTATTTTTATTAAAAATTTAAATCCTTATTGAATATTGATTATTAATTAATTGTAAATTACTTATTTATTTATTATGAGTTATGTTCAGAAATTGAAGTATATTGCTGTTGAATTCACAAACATAAACAATTAGTAAAAATGCAAATTAATTATATGAATATTAACTACGTGAATATTTTATTGTCATATGTATAAAATTTTCTCTCACAAATTAAAAATATAAATATTAAGCAAATTAAACTCTTTTATATAAACATTATTATCTGTCTAAGATCTCATTTTTATTGGTACTAAATCTTACTCTCGATTTTTATTTTATCAATTTTCCTTCTTTCATTAAATCTTTTTGAAAAAAATAAATATATTTCTTTTACGCATTTCCAATTTATTAAAAGAAAAATAAAAAAAAAATTCAATAATTTTTTTTTTTTTTTTCGCTTGTGCACAACCAACTACGTATTCTTCATATAGCTATTCCTTTTTATTACCAAAAAGATTAATGAAGCCTTTTATTAACCAAGTGCTGAATAAAGTAGATAACATAATTAAGAATCACTCGATCAAAGTATTTAAAAATATATATAAATACGTTAAATCGTAGAGGAAACTCTACATGTTCTTTATTAATTTGTTTTTTTAATACTCTAGCAAAGTCACCAACCATCCAACTAATAAATCAGCATGTTAGTATGCTGCGAAAAGGTGAACACATAAACGCGTACACTTAAAAAGAAAAACTACTCTCTCTAAAAGTAAATATAAGAAAAAAAAATATAGATATATTTTATTATATTTTTTTTTTTGTTATAACACTAACGTGGAAAAAAAAAATAATTTATTTTCTTTTTACAATAATTTTTTTACTATTTTTTTTTAAAAAAATAATCATTATCTTAAAAAAAAAATTTTTTTTTTTTTAATGGAGATGATCTATAAAATTTTTTTTTGGAAGATTAAAAATGCAATCTAAAAACGTGATATGCATGGCTTATTGTGTAAATTAATAACATTAGTAATTAAATAACTCAATTATTATTTTATATTAATTAATGAAAGTGAATAATTTGTATTATATTTTAATTAAAAAAAAATAAAATAAGTAAAATTTTCTCTATGAGTTCTTTATTATTTTGTTTTTTTAATATTATTAAAGTCATTGAACGAGCAATTAATAAATCAAGTAATAAATAGAAAAATTAATAAAGGAAATGTAGAATTTTCTCTATAAATCTAATGAATTTAAATATAACCTTAATATTTTAAACCAATAAACTGTAAATTATGTGTTTAATTTATAATTTTCATCCTTCACTAAAAATCCTATGTTTTTATTAAGGACATAAACTTTCATTAATCATTAATTTTTATTTATAAAATATTCAATTACAACTTTTAATGAATAATTTTCAGTTATTCAAGTTCACTTTTTTTAAAAGAGGAAAAAAAAATTTAAATTATTTTAAGATCACTAAGAACGAAAATTTCACTCTCAAAAATGTATAATTTCCTCATGAAAATGTTTCTTTCTAAAAAATTATTCCCTTTCTAAAATTTTATTTTATTTTTTAAATAAAATAGAATGTATTTCTAAAAAAAAATGTAAAGTAAAATATTGATTATTCTTAAACTATCACTTATGCATGGTTAATTATGTTTTTTTTCAAATATTAAAATTTATTTTCATAATAGTTAATAAAGTCTATTTTTAATTAATTTTCCAGTTTTTAATTTTTAATTTCTTTTTTTATTTTATTTTTTCCTGTTCTTTATATTTACATAAAAATTTATCATAAGTAAAAATTTTTCAAAATTATAACAATTAATTTTTTTTTTTACCAGCTATAATATTATTTTAGTAAATAAGTTAAACTGGATCAATTATATCCACAGATGAATTATTACACCTATAAACAGTCAACATATGATCTCTACATTTACTACTAATTTAATTTGCTTGTATACGAAGTAGTTCACACATTAATAGATAAAAAGTAATAAACCGCATACTGTGAATGTTCTTCAAATTGATCATCTTTTCATTTTTGTTATCTTTTTCACCAGATGGATAATGTTCTTTACGTTCTTTAATATGTGTTTGATTTTTCTTCAATATATTACCCTCCGCTAATACTCTCTTATCTTTTAACTTGTTTTTTATTTGTAATGCATCTTTATCAATAATAGACCTACTGGAATCATGCTATAAGATATAATAAAAATTGTTTAAAATTTTATTTTTATCGTCCAAGTAAAAAATTAAATAAAATTCTAGAAATTATTAGAAACAATATATAACTATATATATTTTTTTTTTTATATGAATTTTATCTTACGATGTAAAAGTAATGAGATATCCAAGTTAAAATAAGAAATGTAAAAATCCTTAAACATAAAGTAAATGTTTTCATTTTAATACTATTATAGTATAATAATAAAGTTAAAGTTATTAATCTACTAAAAAAATTGTTTCTATCCTCACTAATTCTAAATTAGTGATTTGTTAAATTACTTTAGACGATATTATAATCTCTATAAATTTTTTAAGTTTTTAAGGAAAAAAATTATTTATTTGAATGAAATATAATTCCTAATTTTTTTTTAATTATATATAATATTATATTTACTTCATGCAAGATTAATACTGTTAATTTTTTGAAAAATAATTTAAATTAGAACGCATATTTATAAGTTAAAAAAAAGGTTAAAATATTTAAAATTATTTTAAAAAAATTTCATTAAAATTATATTGATCCTTAAAACATATAAAAAAATTATATATTCTTAAATTAAAACAAGTTATTATAAATGTTATATACTTAATGAATTTTTTTTTATTTTTTTTTGTTTAACTATTAGTTTTTTTCTGTAAATCAACTTAAACTTTAAATTATTTTATATATGAAATTTATGATTTATAGATATAAATTTTGATATATTAGAGATATTATATCTCCATGAAAATCAAAAAAAACACTACAAATTGAAAAATTTTGTATGCATTTATTTTTCATTCAGTGTACTATATTTGTAGTAATTTTTAATTTAACATGGAACTAATTTTTAATTGTGTATATTATTGGTTTAAATGCAACTATTTTAATTTTTCTATTATTCTTTTTTTATCATGTTTTTTTTTATTTTCGTCATTAATAAATATTTTTAAAATATTATTTATATATTTATTTTTTATTATTATAATAATTTTTGAAAAAATTTTCATTTTCATTTATTTCACACAAAAAAAAAAAAAATTACGAAATTCACAAAATTCAAAAGAAAGTGAAAATATACTATTTTAAAGAAATTATAATAATATATCTTATAAAAAGTACTTTAAAAAAATTGGTTACAATATAAAAAAAAAAAACTATTTTATAAATCATATATATATAGTAAAAAGCATGTTTTGAAATTAGTTTATTTTTTAACAAATTTACTTAATTATTCTAAAAACTATGAAGAATATTCTTTATTATGTTAAATATATTGTGAAAATACATTTTTATGAATTTTCCCTTTTTGTACTAATAATCACAAGTATAAGTTTTAAATTTAATAAAAGTATTATTTTTCATATTGACTATAAAGATATATCTTTAATTACATACAGTTAATTTTTTCTTATAAAATACATGGGTATACATTTTTATTGGGATATAACATGTGTCAATAAATATATATAAAACCGAATAATAACATAAATATTTGCATGTATATTATCATAATTTTCTAATTAAATATGAAAAGAAAATATTTGTTTTGTTTTTTTTTTTAGCCTTTATATGCTTAATTGATAACTTTTGATTGATATAAGAATGCATTTATTTTATTTTTTATTTTATTTTAGTTTTATATATTTATATTTCAATTTTTTTTATTTTTCCTTGCCTTTTTCGTAATATTTAAATAGCTTGATTGTTGGGCTATAGACAATACTATAGATTTATTTAAAATAATATATAAATAAATAAAATGAGAAAAAATTTTTAATTGTGTATGTTAAAATGAATGTAAAATGTGTATACTTAAACACTTCAAAAAATATGTATATTTAGAAGAATAAATTTATATTCACTAAATGTATATATATTAAAAAGAAATACTTGCTCTAAAATTAAATACATTATGAAAAAAAATATGTGTATATTTTATTATTTTATTATTTTTTTTTTTTTTCAAGAACAATTGAAAGTGTAAAATTAGTTGTGATATACATGAGATATAATATAATTTAAAAATAGTAATTAATTCATGCATTTAATATTTGATATAATTATTAAAATTGAATAATCTTATAAAAACAAAATAAATAGAAATTTTTTTATATGCTTTTTATTAATTTTTTCGTTCAATACTAACAAGGTCGTTGAATAAGATATTGAAAAACCATTTATATAATAGCAAATAGTTCAATAATATCTCCTTCATATATTACATTTTTGTTATTCATTTATATGCTATAAGACACCTTTGTAATCATTAATGAAGAATTTAATTGAGAATTTTTATTTTTTTAATTAAATTTTTAAGAATCATTGACATAAATAAATAAGAAGGTATATGCATAATTACTACCTTTCTTCATATTTTAGCATTCATTTTTTCTAAAAAATAGTAATAAACTTAATAATGTGTATTTTTATGATTTATATCTTTTTAATATAATATATAAGTAATGTTTTTAAGACTAAATGTTTATAAATGTAAAAATATCTTACATATATATAAATTGTTACATAGTATTAAAATAATTTAAGTAATATATATAAATTTATATTATCCAAATAATAATCTATGAAATGTAAAATCATTCTAATTATTATAAGTATTATAATATTCATAAAAAAAAAAAAAATTATATGTTTTATTTAAAAATTATAATATTTATAAATAAATAATTAATCAAGATAGACAATAATATATCTATTCACAAAAATTAAATCATACATATAAATAATAATTTATAAATACATATTATCATAGGTATTTTTATGTAATTAAATAATATATATATCATTCCTTTAATGATAACATATATGAAATGATCTATTAGTGAATAAATGACATCTATAACAATATATAATATATATCTGGTTAATAAAAGGTTTTATTAGCTTTCTTCATAATGAAAAAATTTCTATATAATATATTAACAATTATTATTATGTAAAATCTAATTAAAAAAGTTAAATAATAGTGGATATTTTATTTCATTTTTATATTTATCTTAATATATATTATTATTTGTTTTTTCGAACTTGAAAGGATACGAATTTTATTATAAAAAACTCTTATAATTTTTATTAAATATTTTAATTACAGAAAAATTTCTATGTTTTAAAATTAAATTTTCGTTAATTCTAGTAATAATTTTGTACTTTTATTATTTTAAAGAAAGAAATGTAATTTTTTAAAACTAATCCTTAGAAATAGTAATTAAAAGATTTTTATTTATGAAACAATAATTACTGAGGATTTATGTTTTTAATAAAATATGATGATTTTTACTGAAGTAAAGAAATATACAATTATTTAAATTACATAAATACAGTTTCCTCTTTATAGCATTGATATATTATCTAAATCAATAAAACTAGTACTAGTAAGAGTATTGAACAAACATGTTAGTAAAAAGCATTTAGAGTTTTCTATACTAATTTAATGAATTTAAATTTAGTTATAATGATAATAACTAGCATACTGTATCTACGTATTCTACTTCATTAAGAATTTTCTGTTTATAATAAATATTTATTTACATTAATAACAATATCTATTTTTATTAAAAAATTACATCCTTGTTAATAACTAATATTTAATTAACGTAAGATTACATGTAATGTTATGAATAATATTTGGCAATTCAAGTCCGTTGCTTTATGAAACATAATTAATTAATAAAATAATAATTAAATTATGTAAATACTACAAAGTATAATAAATTTATTATGGTTAATATAAAATTTTCCTATGTAAATTTAAACAAAATATACTACAAGTTACTTTTTTTTTTAATTTTTTGATTAAAAAAAATTATTTCAAAAAATGTAAATATATTTTTTTATATGTTTTAAATTTATAAAAAGAAAAAAATAAAAATAATTTTTTTTTTTTTTTTTTTAATTCGCACTTGCATGGCCAACTATTTATTTTCCATATAGGTATCTTTTTTTATTCTCAAAAAGGTTAATAGTACCTTTTATAAAATATTAGATAATAAATAAATGATTAGTTAATTTTTTTTGATTTCTTTCAGTAATGCAAATAAATAAAAAAAAAATATTCATTTTTTAAATGATTTAATTATTAAAGAAAAAAAAAGAAGAAAAATCATGACTAAAAAACTTCTTTGTAGCAAATATTTGTTTCAATTTTTAAAAAGAAATTTTAAATTATAAATAATAAAATATCAGTGTTTTGTAGTATGCGTATAGTTTATTTTGTATTTTTTTATTTTTTTATGTTTTTTCATTTAAGAACGAGGGTTTAAATTGCTAGATATCATTCATAACGTTATAAGTAAAACTTATATAATGAAAATTGATTATTAAAGAGTATTTAAATTTTTAATAAAAATATAGGATTTTTGTCAATGTAAGTAAATGTCTTATAAAAATATAAAATACTTAATGAATAAGACTATATATAAGAGAGTTTACCGGTTTATATAATCTAAGTTGTATTATAATTTATTAAATTAGTTGAAGTAACTCCATTCTTTATTAATTTTGTTGTTCAATACTGTTGTTAAGTCACTAAACCTATAATTAATGAATAATTAATAAAATACAAGTTTAATTATATAAATACTACAAACAATTAAATTCTATTATCGTGCTGTATAATTCTTTCTTAAAATATTATGACAAAAATTATTCTCAGGAATTATCATTTTTTTTCTTCCCCAATAGTTTATTAATTGCCTATTCAATGATTTAGATACAATACTCAACAATCAAATTAATAAATAGCATGTTGATTTATTAAATGGTGTTCGGTGACTTTGCTAGAGTATTAAAAAAACAAATTAATAAAGAGCATGTAGAGTTGCCTCTATGGTTTTGATGTATTTGTATATATTTTTAAATGCTTTGAACGAGTGATTCTTAATTATGTGATCCACTTCATTCAGCATTCTTTAATTTCAATAGGCATTTATTTACTTTAATAAAAACATTTATTTTTATTAAAAATTTAAATCCTTATTGAACATTAATTGTTAATTAATTGTAAATTACAAGTTTATTTTTTATGAGTTACATTCAGCAATTAATATATATTGCTGTTGAATTAACAAACATAAACAATTATTGACAAAAACAAAATAAATTATATAAATATTAATTACATGAAAATTTTATTGTAATATCTATAAAATTTTCTTTTACAAATTCATCATAAAAATCTTTCATTTAATTCCTTTCTCCAAAAAAAAAATTCCTTTTTTTTTTTTTTTTTATTTATTTATTAGTAACAAATATTTTAAAAAATTGATTTTTTAATCAATTCTTTTCCTGACTATTTTTACATTTCTTTTTTATCAAATTTTTTTTTCCTGACAATCTCTGTACTTCTTATTTAAAAAGTACAAATAAAAAAAATCATCAATGTTTTTTGTTTTTATGTGTATGTATACATGACCAACTTCTTATACTTCATTTAATTAGTCCTTTATTTTCCAAAAAGGTTAATGAATCCTTTTATAAACCAGCAATACACACACTATTCAAATTATTTTAATATCATGTAATATCTATGTTAAATGTAAGACACATTAATATTTTACATATTTTTACTTGTAAAATGCACTTTTATTAAATTTATGATTATCTCTTAGAGAAAAATTAGTGTTAAAATATTAAAAATGATAGTATTTATACAAACCACTTTTTATTAATAATACGTCAAAGATTCTAACAAATTAAATTTAAAAAATAATAATACTTATTAAAATTTTCCATTAATATTTATAAAGATGTCTTATAAAATTTAAACTTCTAAGAAAAAAGTTATATTAGAAAGGGACATTTGTTGAATTCATATATACTATATAAATGAGTTACCTAAATTTCGTAAATAAAATGAAAAATAAAAAATTATTCTATAAATATATAAAACTAAAAATATAAAAGAAAATAAACACATCGTAATAATAATCCACACTTATCAAATAAATATACTAAGGCAGAAAAAAAAAAAAAAAAATATATTTTTTTTTTATTTAAGTTGAAGATTGTAATAATATATACGTAAAAAGTTATTTTATAATTTTATTTTATCTTTATTTATTGATATTTTTTATATCACCATAAAAATACTTTCTTTTAAATTTTATAAGAAAAAATCTATTATATTTAACTAAAGATATATTTTTATATTCAGTAAATAACATTTATATTAAATTTGAAACTGATAAGTATTACTCGTAAAAAAGTAAATTTATAAAAATGTATTTTTAGAATAAATGAAGTAAATTTGTCAAAAAATAAAACTTTTAAAAAATATATTTTACTGTAAATATATGATTAAAAAAATAGTATTTTTTTTTTTTTTTTATTGTAATTAATTTATTTCACTTTTAAATGTGCTTTTTACAAGATTCGTTATTATAATTTCATCAATGTAAATGCCTATCTTCACTTTTTCTTTTGAATTTAAGTGCTTAATAAATTTTTTTATTTTTTTTCAAATAGTTGAAAAAGTAATTTTTTTTAAAAAATAGTTATAACAAAAAATAAATATACACATATATTGTATAAACATTTATCAATAATAAAAATAAAAAAAAAAGAATTAAGATATAAAAAAGTGTATAAGAAAAATCAAAAAAGTTATATTTAAAAGAAAAACATACACAAACAAAAATTAGTTTTATATTAAGTGAAAAATTGTCATAAATGTAGTATACAGTTTGAAAGATACATGCGCATAAAAATTTTTAATTTATAGAGTTTTTTTTTCTTTTTTTGATAGAGATATATCTCTATAATGTACGAAGATTTATATTTATAAATCATAATATATCGTATATAAAATAATTTAAAGTTCGACATAATTTACAGAGATTGGTAATTTAGAAAAAAAATATTAAAAAAAACCTTTAATATTAAATGTATATGATTTATAATTTTTATGTGCATTAAATTAAAAATATTTTATTTTTTTACATAATTTAAAGATAAATTAAATCTTAATAAAATATTTTTAAAAAAACATTATTAGATTTATTATATTTTTTATTTATTCATAAATTCACATTCTTATTTTATTTTTTAAAGAATTAAGAATATTATTCCTATCTAAAGTAACCATAATATCATGTGTAATAATAAAAAATTAGAAATTACATTTCATATATGAAAATAATTTTCTATTTTAAAAATTAATGAAATTAATACAAGTTATAATAATATCTAAATTAATATTACAAATCCATAATTTAGTATTATTGAAAATTGAAACAATTTTACATCTGAATTAACAACTTTCACTTAAATATTATTCTATAAATATATTATTATGAGAATGTTAATTTTATATTTAAAAATTACTACATTCCTTCTTTTAATTTGGATGTATCAATGTTTTTATAACGTAAGTTAAAATTTTTACAAATAATATGCATATATATATATTTTATTTCTAATTATTTTTAATATTCTATTTGATTTACTATTCTAGCAAAAGAAACATTCTTTTAAAAAAATTTTATTTAATTCATAGTGTGATTTTTATAAAACTTTGATTGATAAAAATATATTGCAAACAAAAAATGAGTTAAAATATGAAAGAGTGTTAACAGAGGGTGACATATCAGGAAAAAAGCAAACATACGCTAAGGAATGCATAGAAGAAAGTCCATTAGATAATAAAAAAAACAAATGGGAAAATCCGGATCTATACAAGGATCCGTACAATTATTGGTATAAGGTCATTATTCCAAAATTGTGGGAGCAATTTGATAAAGAAACAAGTGAAATGAGCCCTAATTCGAAAAACCGAGAATGGAATGTTGAATGGCATAAATTATCAACTGAGAAAATTAAAGATCTATATTTAGTAACTCTTCGACGTTATATTCCATATGAAGAAAAAAAAAAAATAATTGATAGTGTTATGAAAGAACTTGACTCAAGATTTGAGATATTTTTATGCGAATGTAAAATAAGAAAGGGAAAAAAAAAAAAAAAAAAATAAAAAATCAAATATTTGGAAATTTCTTTTTAATAGGTTTGATAACCATTAAGAGAATAAAAATTAATGGTTTAGCAGAGAATATAGGATTATTCATTCGCAAGATCTAGTTAAACAAAAGAAAAATTAATATTTGTCTAAATTTTTTTTATAGAAATATATTTTATTTTTTAAAAAAAAAAAAAAAAAAAAAAATTAAAAGAGAGAAATTTTTTAGAAAGAAAAAATTTCATGAGAATATTTTTTAATTTTTAAGAATAAAATTTTAGTTAAGTGATATTAATATAATTCAATTTTTTTTTTTACTATTTATGTATTTTTATAATTTTTAGTACCAGTGAACTTAAATTACTGAAAATTACTTATACATAGGAATAATTATTTTGTACTTAAAAATTAATAATTAATGAGAATATACGTTTTTAATAAAAATACATAATTTTTATCAAAGTATATCCACAATGAACCGCATTATTGCAGTTTATTTGTTTATATCGTTAAAATTAGATTCGAAATCCATTTAATTATTAGAGAAATCTCCATATTCTCTTTAATAATTTATTTTTCATTACTCTAGAAAATTCATTGAATGATAATTTAATAAAGTATAAATGTAAATTATGGAAAGTAAATAAATCAGGTAGTAAAGGTAGAGGATAAAATAGAAGAAAAAAAGTTGGATGCAGATTATTACCAGCTGGTTTATTAACTGGGTATTCGGTGACTTTCCTAGAGTATTCAACAAACAAATCAATAAAGAGCATGCAAAGTAGCCTCTACGATTTTGGTGTATTTATATATACTTTTATATGCTTTGAACGAGTGATTCTTAATTATGTGATCTGCTTCATTCAGCATTCTTTGATTTCAATAGGCATTTATTTACTTTAATAAGAATCTTTATTTTTATTAAAAATTTATATCCTTATTAAATATTGATCATTAATTAAATGTATATTCCTTGTTTCTTTGTTATGAGTTATATTCAGCAAGTAATATAAATTGCTGTTGAATTAACAAACATAAACAATTAGGGACAACACAAATTAATTATATAAATATTAATTACTTTAAAATTTTATTGTTATATGTATAAAATTTTCTCTTACAAAATTCATTAAAATCATATTTCATTCCCCCCAAAAAAAAATCATTCTTCTTTTTCTTTTTTTTTTTATTTATTGGTAACAAATCTTTTTCCAATTGACTTTTTTTTTTTTTTTTTTTTTTTTTTCATTTTTTTTTTTTTCCTG